GGTGCTGGAGCTTGTTTTGGTTCCATTGTTCCATTGTAAATGCTCTGATCATATATACCTCGCCTGGACTATTGCAATTCATTACTGTTTGGCATCCCTGCATCATCTTTACAACGTCTTCAAAAAATTCAAAATACTGCTGCCCGTATTATAACCAGAACGAAACCATATGAGCACATCACACCAGTACTGAAAGATTTACACTGGCTTCCTATCAATCAACGTATTAATTACAAAATACTATTAATATCTTACAAATTTTTAAACCACCTCTCCTACCTACCTCCAGGATCTACTTCACATAAAATCATCACAAAGGGAACCCCGTTCTTCATCAAAATTCAATTAGAAATTCCGAGATCAAAGTATGTGAAATTTGGAGACAAGCTTTTCTGTTGCTGCTCCTAAACTGTGGAACAGGCTGCAATCACATATTAAGGATGCGAAATTATTGTGTACATTCAAATCCTTGCTTAAAACACACCTATTCAGTGCGGATCATGGGGAAACTTTCGTAAATGTGACAGACTAACTCAGCGCCAGTGAGCAAACTTTTTGGATACGAGGTGCTATGTACAAATCCATTATTATTATTAAAATGGAAATAAGCAAACTTATCTGCGATATCACCTTCTTTGGAAGCGGACGTTAAATACTAAGTACATAAAAAGAAAGAAAACTTGTTTTCTAAAAGAAGCTACATAATATATAGGCCTTTTTTTTGGAAAATTTCAGCTTAATTCTTCTAGAGCTAAAATATATGCGATATCACCTTCTTTGGAAGCGGACGTTAAACACTAAGTGCATAAAAAGAAAGAAAACTTGTTTTCTAAAAGAGGCTACATATATAGGCCTTTTTGTTTGCAAAATTTCAGCTCAATTCTTCTAGAGCTAAAACAGATAAAAACAGCCTCAAGCGAATTAGCTGAAAGATCGACAATGGAAATTTGTTATGAGACTTTCTATTTTGGGGCATTTCTCTATGAGATAATTAACGCAAGGTTTTGCTGTAAAATTACTACACGACGTATCACATATGGACAAAATTGATATTTTCTAAAACCTGATAACTTGGAAAGTCATTTTTTAAAAAAAAACAAACTCGCATGCCCCCACTGAAGCACTTGGTTTTAAGTTTCACCGATGTCGATGTACGCGCGCTGAATTGAGCAACCAACCAGATGCCGAAGTGTCCATGTACGCCGAACGCGTAGATCGACTGCAACCTATATTATCAGTTGCCTAATTCCAGTCGCCGTGTCCATGTGAAATGAAATGGAGTTTAACGTCCTACTGTTCTGCTCCAACTGTCAAGAGACCTTTTACGTGCACGCCAATGTGTAAACGGGACCTCGGTGTTTCGTCCCATCCGAAAGACTAGACAGCTGTCCTTGTCAGCCCCCCCCCTCCTGCATCACTGACAAGGGGGGGGGGGTCACGCCGGAAATTCTGGATGAACTTTCTCGGCCAATGCAGGGATCGAACATCCGATCTCCAAGCTAGAGAGCCAGCGTCTTACCCACTTAGCCACCGTGATCCCCGCGGTGAAAGTATAACCCAATACAAAAATAAAATAAACGATAATTTTTTCCTGGATTTAATCATAATAGTAATTATAAATACTAGTTTAACATTAAACGACCATAAAACGAAATATCATCGCTATTACGATCGTGGTAGATATTGCTGTACCTGAAAATTAATTTTAAGCAAAATTAATCGTATGTATAATCTGGTAATCTTAAATGTAAAACTTGGTGACACAAGGCTACTATTAATGTCACCATGGACTTCAATGTCAGTTTCATGTCATATCCTGGCCGTCATAAATTTATTCCAACTGACATCCATTAGCCCAATATGTTAATATTATCTTATCAAAAATTTAACAGTATTCCCCAAATGGACGGCTGGTTAATCTGTGATCTTTCCGCCTAAAATTCAGTATCAATCACCAAAGCCTGACACGAATTCAAAAGATTCTTTATGAAGTCTAGAACAAAAATGGGCAAGAAAAGCGAAGAAAAAATAAATTTTATTTATCTGTAACTCGCGCTATAGTTAGTAGAACGATTCCAGAGAGTTGGAAGCAGACCACAATTGATTGCCCATGGACCTTAATGTTAATTCTGCCCTCTTTGCCCTGATCTATGTTAAGCTAAACTTATTTACTACATGCAAAGCAATAATTGGTCATGTTGCTGCTTCCAAACTTAAAGCTGCAATTTCATATTTTTAAGTTATATTTTTAAAATTTATTAAAATAAAGCCTTAAAATAGATGGTATCTATAAACAGTCCTACCTTGTTAAAGAATAATCCTATTAACTATTGCCAGTTGAGAAATTGGGGGGGGGGGGATAGAAAAACAAGGGAGGTAATTGTGTTATTATTTCCGGGTTCAAAGGATTTTTAAGAGGGAGAATAATACCTATAATCGTATAGTAGTGAGTTGACAACCTATTGAGCAAAAGACAGAAATAATTGTGTTTTGACTTTCTTAGAAAATATGAAATTATCGCTTTAAAGTAAAATACTGTAAGTATGTAATTATGGCCCCGTAACGAACCCCTTAACATTGTTGTCCTTCCGCGACTAAGCCATAAATATTTGCCAGAATGTAACAGAAAATGTAATTTCAAGTACTCTCCTTCGATTCTAGACGGAAAAGTTAACAAATTAATATGATATGCAAAAGCCGTGAAAAGGAGAATTGCTATATAGATGCACTACAATATGTTGTACATCCAGTTACAATTGCTAGTTACCTCCCTTAGCACGCGTGGGCTTTATTTTTCGGCGGAATGTTTAGAAGACTATGCTTTTAGTGGTTTGAAATATATATTAATAGCAATTTTCTAGGGCCCTAAAATCTTAACTAACTCACCCACCAACATATACACACCTGTACATACTGATGCTGCAGTCAACGCATCACTTCTTATATTTAACCAGTAGATGGCATGTCCATTTGCCACTGTTGGGGGGGGATGGACGAATGGTTAGCACGCGCGCACTGTATCATACGGTCTGTCATTGAGTCAATTGGCGGGGTTTCGATTTCCCGGTTGTACGTGGCAAGGTAGGGTCGCCTGTCCAACCTCGTGGGTTTTCTCCGGGTCCCTACGCGTAAGCGAATTATTGAAATAAAATTGAACCATGTGTTTAGTCCCGAAATAACCTAGTTTGTGTCGAGTGGACGTTAAACCCCATTTCTCTCTCTTTCTCTCTCTCTCTCTCGCCACTGTTGCCCTGTCAATTATGAATACTTGACTTTCATTTTTCGAAACATAATATTGACCTTTTGAGGTGGAGAAATTGGGCGAGGTTTAGCGTCTCGGCTTAATATTTAATCATTTATTTAGAGATAAATATATGATACATTTTTTATTTCAACAGTTATGTGTACAATTTGAGAGTGGAGGATTTCACCCGTGTGCACCGCGATCATGATGGCATTTTATTTTTACTATACGGCATTTGAAAACATTCAACATTCCAAGTTTGAGCTACTAGTACTACACCATTCATTATTTTAGTCGATCGGCCAATGCCTAGAGTCAACAGACTTTATTTAAAATTTGAATGTTGAGATAAAACTGATTTTGTGTTCAACAGTCGATATAATGGCGTGGATCACGGTGGCTATGTGGGTAAGACGCTGGCTCTCTTGCCTGGAAGTCGGGTGTTCGATCCCTGCATTGGCCGAGAAAATTCATCCAGATTTTCCGGCGTGATTCCCCCCTTGTCAGGGATGCAGAACGAAGGGCCTGACAAGGACAGTTGTCTAGTCTTTCGGATGGAACGAAAAACCGAGGTCCCGTGTACACATTGGCGTGCACGTAAAAGATCCCTTGACAGTTAGAATTCGATATGAGTAGGCCGTAGTGCCACTGTCGGGGCAAAATTTCCCTGTAGTGCCGCTGCTCGGGCAAAATTTTCCTCATAGCACACTGTATGGCGTATGCCCGTCTTCATTAACCCAGTTCGGAGCAGAACAGTAGGACGTTTAACCCAATTTCATTTCATTGCGTCTCGTGTTTTAATGACTCAACTGTGGAACCACGACGGAAATCTGGATTAACTTTCTCGTTCAATGCAGGGATCGAACACTCGACCTCAAAGCTAGCGAGCCAGCGTCTAACCCACTTAGCCACCGTGATTCGCGACAGCGTCGAGTTGTTCTAATGGATAATTCAAGCATGATTAAATGGACAATAAACCCCCAATAAATACGAAACAGGAACGTGTTTATCGATATTGTAGCTCAAATATTTGGGGATTTTCTTCGGAACTATTAAGGGAACATTTTTACACCCATTTTAAAAAGTCGTTATTTAGCCACGTGCTTGCGTTCAGTTTTCAAAATATTCTCAATCGATTTAGACCGTCTTGGTTTTCCTGCAAATTTCAAATGCTTGAGTCTCGAGTTGCTGGTAAATGAATTATGAAAGACGTTTGAAAATGTTGTGATAGTTATGTGTGCAGAATTTCGTGAAGATATTTGGCAATAAAGATTCGAGTTCAGGAAGATCATTGAGCACAAAAATGAAACAAAAAGTACACGGTAATATTTCTACGTAGTAATTCGCCTTGATAATTTAGAGGGGATTTGTTGCCCATTCGACCACACTTTTCGACAAATCAAAATCTAGGAAATATTCTAATTTGTGCTACAATTGTGTTTAAATGAGTGATTGTTTTCCATATAAATTGTGTTTTTTTTAATTTGCTCAATCGCTAAATGCCACGCAAAGAATATAGGTATTTACATGATACTAAAATAACTGAATTAGATTATTATTTCCTATCTAGGAAATATTCTAATTTGTGCTACAATTGTGTTTAAATGAGTGATTGTTTTCCATATAAATTGTGTTTTTTTTAATTTGCTCAATCGCTAAATGCCACGCAAAGAATATAGGTATTTACATGATACTAAAATAACTGAATTAGATTATTATTTCCTATTTATTGACAACAGTAAAATACAACACGTGCTTGTAATTAAATCAGTTTATTTACGTAAGTTTCTCAGAAAATATCGAATTAGTATAAAATTTACACGGCACCATCCACAAATGACAACAAACTTACAGACTTTCTGTTCAAAGAAAAATTGAGGATTATTTTTCTTATCATAAATTATTTGGGATATTCCTTGAATAAAATATTGTACAAGTAAATCAAGAATATGTTCTCTTCTGAGGCACAGCTAGCTATTCATACAGGCTCATGTGGCTATCCGTATAGACAAACGTGTAGATTTCTTATATAGACAAAGAGAGACATAAGACCTTCATTAGCACAATCAGTGCAGGAAAGTAGGATGTTACTCCCCATTTCATTTCAAAATACATATCTTTTACATATAGGCACAAAAGGTGTAGGTAACTTCATAAATAATATCCAAAATAGCCAAGTCTGGAAGGTGTACACTTATAGATGATATGCCAGGTTGAATTATTTAAAGGCAAAATAGTAATGGTAAATTGTATGGTTCCAGTTTTATAGAAAAGAAAATGAATACCCCAAAAGAGTCAGTAATAACAGAGTAACCAGTTTTCAGCGTTGAACTAAGTACCGGTACAGAAATAAAATTGTATCAGTTTACAACAAATAAAAAGCGGTGATGGCGACAGCTAAAACTGAAGCAATCCCAAGTCGGGTACCTGAAAGAACAAGAAAATCAAATCATTATACCGATTTTAAGAGTGCTTTCAACCCGTGTTCAACCTTAAATGGAGGTTGTAAGGGCGTAATAAATTCATTTTAGTCAGATAAGATATATTCGGATGTTTTAATTTTTCAATTTTCTATGACGATGGTTGTATCATAAACCGAATTGTTTCCACCACAATTTCTTCATTAAAAGAATAATGAACCAGCGGCTGTCAGGCAAGATACGACCACATTTTGCAAGAGATAGATAGAGAACAAGCTAAAGACAAAAGAGATTTTCCGTACAATCAGGGGCCATAATCCAAAAAATTGACATTGACTGGGACCTTTGGGATATAAAGATAAAATTTTAAATTTCATCAAAATCAGATAAAAACTGTGACCTCTAGAGGGTCCACAGCCTTGGTATTACATATCTTTACACTATTTGTGTACAAGGAGCGGCCATTTTGTCTGGCAGTTTTGAACCAACTTTCACGAAATTCTAACTCAACCGAAATTTTGGTGTAACGGTGATATATTCGAAGATTATTTTTTAAATCGGATAAAAATCGTGGCCGCTAGTGGGACCACCAACTAAAACGCGATTTTTCGTACAATCAGGGGTCATAATTCAGGAAGTTACGATCCGAAATGAGCGAATATCAAAAGGAACCAAGATCTTTAGGTTATAAACCGGCATGTCAAAATTGTGACCTCTGGAGTGTCCCAAAACTAAAAACGTGATTTTTCGTACAATCAGGTGCCATAATCCATGAAGTTATTGTCCAATACATACCAATTTCGAAAGGAATCGAGATCTGTGGGAGATAGAGTTATATTTCAAGTTTCGTCAAAATCGGATAAAACTTGTGACTGACAGGAGCGACGACAATAATATACGTCCACATGAAAATGTGGGCATAGAAAAATAAGGCTTACCTGAACTACCACTACCGGGAGTTGTTATTGGGACATTCGCACTGGACACTGAAAAATTAGACAATATATGATAATTCTATTTTCATAACTTTTGTAAAGTAAACATTTGAGTAATTATTTGAATTAGCGTTTGTTACAAAAATATTCTTATATAATTGCCGAATTTTATACGTAACTCATTAAAAGTATTATTTCATTGGATGAATAATATCCGTAACGATGTAAAGGAATTTTGATTTGTTTTCCAAGAGATACGCACCAGTATTTTATTCCGTTTGTTTTATCTCAAGAACCAGCAAAAATAAACATAAAGCCTTTGTGTTTTTTTCATAATTGGGATAATAATGATGTACCAAACTTACATCATTTACACATTCAGAACTGGACATATAAATTTACAATGGTTTGATATACACGTTAGAATTCGATAAACTGAAACAAAATGTATAGCTTTCGTGCTCAGATCATTGAAACGTTGTAGTAAGTCAGAGTTAATGATTATAAAAAATGTTTCAAAACTTGTTTTGAGTGTTCGTCGACGTATAAAGATTGACACTTACTGAAATTTTCAACGAAACATGGTCTACTTAATATTCTTGTTTAACAATGCTGCGATTAATATGGAACCGTATTTAGTAATTTACAGTGTTTTGTCCCTCCCCATGTCATGTGAGGGGTACAAGCTACTGAAACTGATTTTGTTATGGTCACCTCAGAGTAGTTAATGCATAATTTCCAAGAGAAACCTTGGGGAATAATTCGTTGCAATGGAGGGGGAACTATCAGATTAAATAATATAATACAGACATTCATGGTATACTTCTATTATTGGTATTATAAAACATATACATTTATATTTCCATCAACCATCAAGCGAATTATTGAAATAGCATTATACCATATGGTATAGCTAGTGCCTGATTGACCTTGTTTGTTTCCCCATTCCTCCTTTCTCTCTCATTTTTGCTTAAACATTAAGTAGTCTTATAAAACTCAAACATTTACATTCATACTTACTGGTAGATCCGGACATAAATGCTAATGCTTGCGATTCGTGGTTCATCCAGTAGGTATTTTTATTCTGTGCAATAGTAGCACTGAAATATAACAAGAAAATTAACGTGGAACAGGCCATGTTTCACGTAATATGTATGTTCTACATCCAATGTTATGTATAACCTATGATGAATACAGTGGTAGGGCCCATTAGTATTTGTATAAACATTGGTATTTTCTTACCTGAAAGTAATCTGCCCCATATCAGTAGATGGTGCTGTCCATATTACAGTTGATGTTGGTTTGTCTGTTGGAGAGGAATGGGTCCATGAATCCCCAGCAGCAGGACATTGGATTGTTTTGGTGTTGACCGATGGAGTACTAAACGTTCCAATTGGTGTCGTTGCACCAGATTGTCTAGCTTGAAGTAAAAGTCCTTGGTGATTACCGCCTCCCGAGATCGTGACTAAACCATGAAAAAAAAAGTTTAGGTTTGGAACATTTTTAGTTCTACAGAAAAAGCCAATATTGAAATAGAACCGAATTCGCATGTCATTCTAATATTGAAATAGAATTGTAATTGTATAGATCCGACTATTCTGTTACAAAGGAAGTCCCAAACGTTTCCCACCTAAGTATCTTCCGATTTGCATGCACTAGTACAACTACTTCTCCGCCTTTCCATAGTTAGTCACGTGATCGTGATGCTAAAATCTCTTCAACTACAGTGGTGACCTCATCATTCGTTTCGAATCTGAGATCGCCGAGGACGTATTTGAATTGCTAGAAGGAGAAAGGTTAGAGGGGGCTAGATCTGGAGAATATGCTGGATGAGGGAGGATCTTGAAGCCACAGTCACATGTATATAGCGCTGACTGCTACTTGGGTGGTGTGACTGTGAACTGGATCATTGTTCTGAATCATTAAATGTCTTGGCAGATTTATTTGCATATTAATTCTTTATTAAGGCTAAATTCGCTGAATAGAAACATTTGTTGAAATTATTAAAGACTTAATTATTTTCATAAATGTTCCGAAATAGGATTTGCAACAAATTATTACTCTTCATACAGAACTTTGAATTGCTTATAACCGCGTCTGGTGTTGACCGAGAAAGTTCATCGGGATTTTCCGGCGCGGTTTCTCCTTGTCAGTGGTGCAGAACGGAGGGCCTGAATAGTCATTGGGGTCACATGGGGTGGGACGATGTCAGGTGTACACATTGATGTGCACGTAATTCGATATAAGAGACGGTCGTAGCGCCGCTATCCGGGCAAAATTTCCCTCATAGCACACTGCATGGCTTCATTGGCCCAGTCTGAGCAGAACAGTAGGGTGTTCATTTTCATTTTAATTGCTCATCATGTGGGGGGGGGGGGGGGGTAGGAAAAATGCGACCGACTGATGCACATGTCCCTAACAGCTAGAATTTTTCTTCTTGAAATTAATGATAGCATTATATTGTATTAATTAATATCTCTAGCAAGTTAGTGGGTTCACATATTTGTATTTCAATCAGTTAGCGAGTGAGTGACAGATGGACACATAAAAAGGGTTATACAGCCAAAACATAGCTGGTTGTATGTGTCAATAAAATACCACGAGATTACACGTGCTGGGAAATTTACTAATTACATCATTTAGCTAAAGTAACCAATCATAATCAGTAATTGCACAGGTTTAGGGTCATGAGTAGCTTACTCTGTGCGGCGTGATATCCAGGAGTCCTATAAAAGAAATCATAATAAACTTTTAAAACAGATTTTTATTAGATTCCGGAGAGATTACCATCTGAGTGCAATTTCTATCAGAAGACTCGCCCAGCGAGTCTGGCTGGATAAGGTTTGAGAGAATGACTTTATTCCATTATGCATTGTATCCATATGTAAGCAGCTATGGTATATAAAATGTAAAAGCGAACTGTTGCATTTTTATTCCTGGTAAGACAAACGTCTTAAGAAAACAGTAAAAAGTAAATACACAAAGTGAAGCAGAAGCAAATACAGCGCTAGAGACTAATTCTAGACGATCACAAGGCTACTAAGATATGTAGTAAGAAAAGATGCATGGGTCGTACGTAGGATGTGGCGACCGGTTTAGAATCACCCGCTCTCAACGTCTGACAGAAGACCCATGGTGCTACATAATACGAGTGACGCAGTCAGGGACCGAGCACCACAGATGATTAGTTTTCTAAGGACCAGTAGCTGATCTGGAAGCTGGGAATAGGGGGTGGGTAGGTTCCAAATCTAGGGCGCCATCCACAATCACTGAAATGAAATGGAGTTTAACGTCCTACTGTTCTGCTCCTAACCTGGGCTAATGAAGACGAGCACACAAATTTATGTCATATAATATGATGATTGTTATTGATTTTGTTATTAAATTTATGTGAATGGGGCAGTGGCTATAACATTGAGCAACCTTAGAAAATTTTGAAAAATTAAATCAATATCCTGGCATTTGAGGTCATTGCTGGCAGCAAATTCTTGTGAACAAGAGAACCAGAAAGAGGAGTCAATGGGTCAGAATCTCGAAATCTGCCCCTGTCAATTCCGCCTGTTTTGCAAGAGTTATCAGAACATTTGTACAGTCTGACGCCCCACGACCCAAGCACCAGCGGTACTAACTGGGCAGTTCACTATAACCGTGAATATGATAGTGCTGAGGCAGTATAAAACCACAGAGGAGCGGAAGAATGATGTCATAATGGAATCTAGCGGCGCAGGCGTGAAAAAATTTCAGATATGTAACTGACCTTTGAATTTTTTGGGACTGAGTCTGAAAAATTTTAGTCAATGTCATGAAAAATGGGATCAAATTCTCCTTAACGAGAGGATAAGAAATGGGGCAGAATCTTGAGGCCCGTCAGTCAATTTCGCCTGTTTTTTTGAGGGCAGAAATAACAATTCTAGTCTGTCGACCCACTCACTAATGGTACTACCATCTGGGCGATTCACTGTAGCTGTGAATATGATAGTGGTGAGATTTAGAAGTTGAAGAATAATGACATAATATATGGAATTGAGAGCCGTAGGCGCGAATTTTTTTTAGATAATGTAACTGAGCTTTTAATTTTGGGGGACTGGGTCCGAGGGGACTTTGTCTCACAGGGGCGCTTACTTGATCTCTGAAATGCCATTTACTGGACTTTGGGTCTGGGGAATGGTTTTGCAGAATTCTGATGGTCAGAAAATACTTACAACATGAGTAAAATACGTTTTAATTTCTACGGGATTAAATATGTAACAAGTAAAAATTCGAAAGTGCAATAGATTGCCTTAAAGGACAATATTGGTGTCAGTCATTATCACATATGTGATAGAAATGAAATGAAATGAAATGGGGTTTAACGTCCTACTGTTCTGCGCCTAACCTGGGCTAATGAAGACGGACATACGCCATACAGTGTGTTATGAGGGAAATATCGAATTCCAAATGCCAAGGGATCTTTTACGTGCACGCCAATGTGTACACGATACCTCGGTTTTCCGTCCCATCCGAACGACTAGACAGCTGTCCTTGTCAGGCCCTCCATCCTGCATCACTGACAAGGGGGGAAACCACGCCGGAAAATCTGAATGAACTTTCTCGGCCAATGCCGGGATCGAACACCCGACCTCCAGGCCAGCGAGCCACCGTCTTACCCACTTAGCCACGTGATCCCCATATGTGATAGAACGTGATAGACCTAATTAAACACGTTCCAAATATAATTTTAACACAGAGATCATTGCTACGATAGCTGAGTAATAAAGGTTTCCTGAATCGGAAGTGACGAACGCCAAAGGAAAACACGAGGCATCCCTCTATATAACTGACTGAAGTGACGAGTGATAACAGATACATGGGCGAATTTCTGCTTATTAATAATTCCTTCCAAGACCAAAAGTTGTTGTGTGAGACTGTGAGAGGATATCTGACAATTCATAAAAAGAATTGACTGCCACTAGATAAGAGAACACGAAAGAAAAACAGAAAAAGTCCGTGCATTACCATGTTTTTATAAGGTATAGAATGAATATAAACAAGGGAATGTACGGACTATTTCTATTTTTCTCGTGTTCTCTTATCTAATGACATTCAATTACTTTATTGAATTGTCAGGTATCCTCTATAACAACTTTTTGTCTTCGAAGGAATTATTAGTGAGCAGAAATTTGGCCGTGTATCTGTTATCACTCGTCACATCAGTTAGTTATAGAGAGGCATATGACTCATGTTTTCGTTTGGCGTTCGTCACTTCCGATTCAGGAAACCTGCATTACTCAGCTATCGTAGCCATGATCTCTGTGTTAAAATTACATTTGGAATGTGTTTAACCAGCTCTATCACATATGTGATAATGACTGGCACCAATATTGTCCTTTAACATTTCATAATTTACAGATTTTTTACGTATTTCTGAAACAAACTATGCTTCAAATAACTTCTTACCAACTGTTCGACTAATGTTATTCGTATAACAATCAATAATATAATTTAAGTTATCAAAACCTTCGTAACAAGCTCTCAATTTCTTAGACCAACATACTCATAACAGGGATTTTTTTTTTCAAACATGAAAAGTTGACAAGGTTATTTTATACTATACCGTTGCAATTTAGGTGCACGCATTGTTTACCTCTGAGACCGACTATGTGACTTAAGAAATTTAGGTGCACGTATATTAAAGTAGCTAAGTCTCTAACTCAATATCATCCAAAGTCTTCCACATTGAAAACACGAATTATTTGTTAATTTAAATCAACATTGCTGTTATAATCTTACAGAGAAAAGATGGGCTTCTGATATCCAATATTTAAGACAAAATAAACATTTTACCATTGGTACACGAATCATGTACCATAATGCGTTTCAGCGTCATTTGTAACAAGGGACTTGAAGAACAAGGCTAGACATATTCAACAAGTCATGTCAAACGGTGAAGCCATATTCTTATCCGTAGTGCATGCGCAATAAATACTATCGCTGTAGACTGGCAAAACCAGACGCTAGGGATTGCTTTTCGACTGAAACTTCTGGCGTATTTCGCCGAACATAACTGATAAGAAATTACAGTACAAACTGAAACCGTTTATATACATTCATATTACATTATTATATGCGTTGCAACCCATTTGTGTCAATTTCTAGGTCACAAATATTAGCGATTTAGCTCCTTTAAGTATTTGTGATTTTTCCCTTCATTCTGGCATTGTTTACCTCATTAATTAATTTCGCCAGTCGCCGATGCATAATTTTGAGACCGATTGCAGTGACTGTACGTATTTTGAGACCGACTATTTTTCTCCCAGGTGGGAAATTATTTTTTAGACCAACTCACAACAGAATAAGTTGACAAGGTTATTTTATACTAAAGTTTTAGATGATTAGCGTAACGTATCGCAATTTAGGTGCACGGATTTACGCAAATAGATAAAAAATTTGGGATTTTTCCTTCTATTTTGGCATTGTTTGTATACCTCATTAATTCAGTGAGCACTTATTTTGAGATCGACTGCACTAATTTTGCGACCGACTGACTATTTTTTTCGCTGGGCCCCACATTTACGCCCCTGAGTATACCAAAGGGTGACTCGAATTTTTACCTGTTATTTGTTGATTAGGTTGATATGTAGTTGTTGAAACCGTAATGGAGTACGGTGATGTTAATGTTTGTGGTGAAATTCCAGTGTGTCCTGGCTCCATACTAACACAAGCTCCAGGTGGAGCTCCTCTACCATAGGAATAAACTCCACTAACTGCTCCCACTAAAACCAAACATTTCAATAGACTGGAATTCATTTTTGTTAGAATCTGGTGTAATGAAGCTTCTCTGTTTGTATGGTAAGTAAAAGTGACTGAATTTATGGACGTTTATGGAGTTAAAATGTTGAGTGTCGGTAATTATGTATATCCGCAATATCATCGTTGTGTAAAAATCTTAACCGACTATAAGAAATCAACCGATACGCGAGCAATATTATTATTAATTGTAATTTACATTAATGAGCGCGTCGTCAAATAGTGGTATGTCATGCAATAATAATTTTACCTTGTGAACCTATACAATCTTTACGAAATTCTAACTCAAACTTTATTGATATGTAACGGTCATATATTTTAACGTTTTTTTTTTTAAAATGGAACTTCTAGTTAACCCACAAGCTAAAACTGTGTTTTTTCGAACAATTAGGGGCCATCATCCAGGACGTTACGTTCGGATATGCGCGATTACCAAGATCTTTGTGATATAAATATAAATTTAAAGTTTCATCAAAATTGTGGCATCTAGAGTGTCCACAACCTTGATATACCACATATTTGCACAATTTGCGTACGAGGGGTGGCAGTTTTGTCCAGCAGTTTTGGTCCGTTTTCACGAAATTTGAACTCCGCCATCATTAGGGTGCAACGGTGATATATTCAAACGTACCCAATCATTAAGTACATTCATGGGTATTTTATACTTTAACACTTGTTCTACGAACCTTGTAAAAGTAAAATGAAACTACTGCTAGTATCATGTTCTTGCCTAACGCAAATATTTCAGAGATATTATTTGTACTAAACCAAAAGATGCCGCTCCTAATGGTACAGTTAATGATAAAGCAATTTAAAAAATAAAACGAACGTTTTAATATTACTGCTATTCAGAATCGTCAACAATAGATTTTTTACAGCTGTAATAGTTGATAGATGTGTAGGGAATTGCACGTGCGATGTCTATTTATAGTATCATAGACTCTACCGCTGAATATTATCATAGTGCGTAGTAAGCGAGAAACCACTTCGAGATTAGCCACTGAAGCGTGTGCATTCGCCGTGTCGAGACCAACTTTCTGCACGGAAACTTTTGTGTGCACGGATCACCCTAGATATGGCTGAACTTATTTCCACGCTTGACAACCTAAGTTGGTTTATGTCATCGCCAATCCCAATAACACACCAGATCAACCCAAGTAATTACTTTATCAGATTGCGGATACTGTGTAAATACTAATAATACATTCTTAGAATTCTAAACGCCTACGTAAACGTCAAATATTGTGTAAAGACTAAATACGGGTACTAGTTTATATTATATTAAAATGTATTATAAAATAATACACCGATTTTGTATTAAATAACTCGCAATATTGATTTTTCTATACGTTAGCAACAGGACGCTTCTTTGTCGAAGTCAGATATTAATACACTTTACTATTTCCCTTACAATAGGATGCAGGCATTTCCGCCCTAACGGATGTACATCATCAATGAATCATGTGCTCCATAATTTATTTTATATGCAATTCCCTGTTTATTCTTCTATTAATGATGGGATTATGAAAGCCCAGTATTTTACACTAAAGGCCAAATTATTAAAGTTTATTTCAGATCACACACAATAAGGAGTACTCCTATCGAAAATCTTTATGATTAAGAAATTGTTAAATCGCTCAATCATAACGAATGTTAAGGCCAAGCTCCGATTAGTCTTAACGGACTGCCCACCGCCACATGAATATTTAATAGTCTCGGCACAGGCATACGGAATACCCATTTCTATCCATGAACATTGGCCTCAATATGGTATTTAACATAGTGTTTTGTAGTTGAATCATAAAAAAAATGATTACTTGCCTCCCGGTGCTTTAATTTTTGACTCAATCTCGATTTGTTTTATTTTATATGTAAGTTTGGAGTAAATTGCATTGATCCGACTATATTCCGCTATTGTTCATTCGTCTGTTATATTATGTTATATTATTTAATTACTTGAAATTTGACAAGTCATTTAGAAACCGGATGTTACTGAATTTAGATTGTTATCTACCTAAAGTGGCTGCAGTCCTAGATAGATACTTGAACTTCGTAAGAAATTGTCTTGTCATACCTAAGAAATTTATTTATGGGTCTATAAAGATATTCCTTCGGGGTTAATAAGTCACCAATTCATCCTCAACATTATATTAAGAGGAGTTAAAGTAACGGTGTGTAATCTGAATTTCAGTAGGAAAATATGAAATTTCTGACGGCTTACTCCACGCTAAAATGTACTAAGATTGGTTATTTAACATTTGATTAATTAAGAAAGTAAAAATCATAGTGTCGGCGCAATATTATTCCCGGCTTTGCTTTAATCGAATTCATAACAGCCCTTTCGTACGATTTCGCGAATACGTTAAAATGAGGTCATTAGGCCTTATTTTGCAAAAAAGCGGAAAGTTCAACTTTGAAGAAATGTAGACCTGTAGACCTTTTTTGTTGACGAATCTGTCAATAAAGAGAAAATAAGACATTTTACATAAGGGTCGGCATACATCCGTGATAGTCCTTTAAGAAATTAGCAAGGTATTCCCTATATCGCCCCAATCACCGAGGGACTTTTAAGTCATATATCTTTAAACTGAAAGTTACTCTTATATGGAGCAGAATTTACATCATAACTCTAACTCCTAAACTAGTAATGTTTATGCTAATATGCTTATTTCTATGCATGTAACTTCTTACTTACAATGTATAATATGTTAAATTGGCTATTTATGTACACATGAAAACATTCTAATTTATATGACGTATTTCTTCAATATTAATGTGAGAATTTTTTGTATTTTTTCTATTTCCATTCTTACTTTTAATTTATTGTAGTCAGTTTAGTTTCGTAAACATTTTAACATTTCAGAAATGTCACGCGGTAATGGCCTACTCGTATATTGAATTCAAACTGCCAAGGAGTCTTTAACTTTCACACCAATGTGTACATGTGACTTTGGTTTTTCGTTCCATGCACACGACTATACGGTGGTCCCTTCCAGGCCCTCGGTCCTGCCCAAATAACAAGGAGGAACCACGCCGGTCGGCCAACGCAGGGATCGAACAAGGAACCCACAGGCTAGTGAGCCAACGTCTTACCCACCGAGCAATCCCAAATTAGTAAAGTTATTGTATTTTAGACTGGATTCTAATTCTAGATCATTTTTGTGCCATTGTCTGATAATAGTCTTGACAGCTCCTCTTAAGGGCATTTATGCAGGAATCTCTGGTCAATTGGAACCTCACACGTGCGAACCCATTAAAGCCCACGTTATTGATCTAAGATATAAGCTATACTGCTCACTATATTAAGTACTTCTTTGTTTACGGCAGATAAATGCATAAATAAATATAAAAAAATCCGTCCAAATAAAAAATTCTCCACCTACTTCATTCTGCCTACTATGGGCGTCTTCAGATATTAATAATGTATACAAAATATTACAAATACGATACATATATACATTCTTAGAATAATAGATTTCCATGACAATCGATTATAAATAATATTAGATAATGTACAACAAAAGGTTTAAAAGTATTATAATACATAACATGACATAAATCTACAACTGGAGACCCACGGATGGCTTTGATTCGGCTTGGATTTAAACAGGATTTCATTCATTAAATTTTTAAATGGCGTCGTAAGCGGAGATTAACCGTTACGTTGACGTCATAATCCCGGAAATTTTAGATCGAGGCTAAATGATAGAGTGTACGACACTGATCTCTATAAATAACTGCATGGCTGATTGGCCCAAGTAAAGTGAGGCATTAGAGCCGCCATGACAGTCTACGCAGAAAAGCAACAACATTAGTAAAGGTATATAGGAAAATTATCGTCTAACATCATTAAATGCCGTCTTGTGCAGCTGTTAACTGTACAAATCGCCCGTCTCAATGTGGGAAAACCTTTCACAGGTTTAATAATTTTCTTGAGCCATCTTTTGTTCTAAATTTTGCATTAATTGTTAGTGTTATATATATTATTTAGATGTTCACAACATTTTACAGAACAGAAGATTGTTTCGAAATTTTATCGTGGGTTGCCCAGGTTGAAAGTGGTTTACAGAAAAAGTAAGGCCTTTTTTTTGATCTATCTAGAATAATTATTCCAAGTCAAAACTAAATTGTGATATAGGCCTACCAAATCTAAAAACAGTGATCAGCTGTCAAAAAAGTCACAATTCAATATAATATAATATGCAGGCAGAATTCTGTGGGCATTTTTATGAAGATTTGTAAAAGTAAAATAATACTAGGCCTTGTAATATATTCCTACATATTTCTATAAAAGGGTGATCAGTGGTCAAAAAATAATTTTAAAAAAATGTGATTTGCAGGCAGAATATATATATGTCACTGCATTTTGTGAAGATTTGTAAATGTAAAATAAATAGACCTACTAGGCCACATTATATAGCCCTGTCTATTTCTAAAAACAGTCATAATTAAAGCTGTCAAAAAAAAGTCACAATATGCTGGAAGAATTCTCTGAGCATTTTATGAAGATTTGTAAAATTAAGATAATACTAGGCCTTGTAATATAGGCCTACTAGTACATATAACTGAAAAAAGGTGATCAACTGTCAAAAAAAAGTCATGATAAGCAGGCAGAAATTTCACTACATTTTGTAAAGATTTGCAAAATTAAAATAATATAGGCCTACCTATTTCTAAAACAGTGATCAGCTGTCAAAAAAGAGTCAAAATATGCAGGTAGAATTGTCTGAGCATGTTATGAAGATTTGTAAAATTAAAATACTACCAGCTCTCAAAAAGTCATGTGTTAAATTAATTGACATTTAAAGGGAGGAAGGCATTTGCTCACTAACAAGGAGATTTGGATTTTGATTCAGATGTTTGTTGAGAAAATTGCCTGTTTTCCCTTTTGTCAGTGATGTGTTTAGGAAATGAAATGAAATGAAATGAAATGAAATGGAGTTTAACGTCCTACTGTTCTGCTCCTAACCTGGGCTAATGAAAACGGGCTGTGTTTAGGAATTTCATTTCAAATTTTTACATTTCAGGTAGCATTGCATATACTGTTTATGGAAGCATTAAGGCGTGCATTAAAT